CAGAGGCCAAGGACACCATTTTATCCCCTTGCTAATAGCCTTTTATGGACCTAACCTCCTTGAAATTATCTAGCTTCTCTTTAAACTCTATTATAGTCCTAGCCTTCACAGCCTCCTCTGGCAAGGAGTTCCACAGGTTGACTACACTCTGTGTGAAGAAGAACTTTCTTTTATTAGTTTTAAACCTGCTCCCCATTAATTTCATTTGGTGTCCTCTAGTTCTTCTATTTAGGGAACTAATGAATAACTTTTCTTTATCGGCCCTCTCCACACCACTCATGATTTTATAGACCTCTATCATATCCCCCCTCAGTCTCCTCTTTTCTAAACTGAAAAGTCCCAGTCGCTTTAACCTCTCCTCATATGGGACCCGTTCCAAACCCCTAATCATTTTAGTTGCCCTTTTCTGAACCCTTTCCAAGGCCAAAATATCTTTTTTGTGGTGAGGAGACCACATCTGTACACAGTATTCAAGATATGGGCGTACCATAGTTTTATACAGGGGCAGTAAGATAGTCTTGTGTCTTATTTTCTATCCCTTTATTAATAATTCCTAGCATCCTATTTGCCTTTTTGACCGCCGCTGCACACTGTGTGGAAGTTTTCAGAGAACTATCCACGATAACTCCAAGATCTCTTTCCCGATTTGTCATAGCCAAATAAGCCCCCATTATACTGTACCTAGAGTTGGGGTTATTTTTCCTGATGTGCATTACTTTACACTTATCCACATTAAATTTCATTTGCCATTTTGTTGCCCAATCACTCAGTTTGGTGAGATCTTCTTGGAGTCCCTCACAGTCTGCTTCTGTCTTGACTATCCTAAACAGTTTTGTATCATCCGCAAACTTTACCACCTCACTACCAACTTTACCCCTTTCTCCAGATCATTTATGAATAAGTTGAAAAGGATTGGTCCCAGGACTGACCTTTGGGGGACACAACTAGTTACCCCTCTCCATTCTGAAAATTGACCATTTATTCCTACCCTTTGTTTCCTGTCTTTTAACCAGTTCTCAATCCAAGAAAGGACCTTCCCTCTTATCCCATGGCCATGTAATTTACACAAGAGCCTTTGGTGAGGGGCCTTGTCAAAGGCTTTCTGAAAATCTAAGTATACTATATCTACTGGATCCCCCTTGTCCGCATGTTTGTTAACCCCTTCAAAGAACTCTAATAGATTAGTAAGACATGATTTCCCTTTACAGAAACCATGTTGACTTTTGTCCAACAAATTATGTTCTTCTACAGGCCTCACAATTTTATTCTTTACTATTGTTTCGACTAATTTGCCAAGTACTGAAGTTAGGCTTACCAGTCTATAATTGCCAGGATCGCCTCTAGAGCCCTTTTTAAATAATGGTGTCACGTTGGCTACCTTCCAGTCATTAGGTACAGAAGAAGCCGATTTAAAGGATAGGTTACAAACCACAGATAATAGTTCAGCAATTTCCCATTTGAGTTCTTTTGGAACCCTTGGATGAATGCCATCCGGTCCTAGAGATTTGTTAACATTAAGTTTTTCTATTTGTTCCAAAACCTCCTCTAATGACACTTCAATCTGGGACATTTCCTCAGATTCATCACCCACAAAGGATGGTGCAGATTTGGGAATCTCCCCAATGTCCTCAACCACGAAGACTGAAGCAAAGAAATCATTTAGTTTCTCCGCAATGGCTTTATCGTCCTTGATTGCTCCTTTTATATCTCGATCATCTAGGGGACCCACAGGTTTTTTAGCAGGCTTCCTGCTTCTAATGTACTTAAAAAACATTTTGTTATTTCTTTTTGAGTTTTTGGCTAGCTGTTCCTCAAAATCTTTTTTTGCTTTTCTTATTACATTTTTACACTTGATTTGACAGTGTTTATGTTCCTTTCTATTTATCTCACTAGGATTGGACTTCCACTTCTTAAAAGAAACTTTTTTGTCCCTCACTGCTTCTTTTACATGGTGTTAAGCCATGGTGACTCTTTTTTAGGTCTCTTGCTATGTTTTTTAATTTGGGGTATACATTTAAGTTGGGCCTCTATTATGGTGTCTTTAAAAAGTTTCCATGCTGCTCCACTCAGGACTAAATCGAGAATTGCCTCTCCCCTTGTGGGTTCCTGCACCAGCTCTAAGAAGCAGTCATTTAAGCCATTGAGAAATTTTATCTCTGCTTCTCTTCCTGAGGTGACACCTGAGGTGTATCTAGTCAATATGGGGATAATTAAAATCCCCCATTATTATAGAGTTCTTTATTTTGGTAGCCTCTCTAATCTCCCTCAGCATTTCAATGTCAGTATTGCTGTCCTGGTCAGGCGGTCGGTAATATATCCCTACTGCTAATTTCTTATTATTGGAGTATGGAATTACTATTCATAGCGATTCTATGGGACATGTTGATTCATTTAATATTTTTATTTCATTTGATTCTACATTATCTTTCACATACAGTGCCCCCCTGCCCCCCCAAAGTGTACTACAGAAGGCTCTTTTTTGGCTGAGTTTATTGAACCCTAGGATGTTTCCCACAATGCCCAATTAGCCTCTCTGGTCAGTGCTTTGAACTCTGCTGCTCTGCAGCCACAGTAAACAGGTTATCAGAAATGTGCCCCTCCCCATGACAAACCATTTCCTACTGGCTGGGTCATTGTGTAATGCTCCTCATGGCATCGTCTCAGGGAAACCAAGGTGGCTATTCCTGAAGATGGTCTCCTGTTTGGAGCCCCCCAGAGCTTTTGGATCTGATCAGTATGTGGTGGTGAAGAACTGGTGCAATCACAACTGCAAGTGTCCTGTAGGAACTGGGACACATACAGTTGCATTTCTCAAGCCTTTTGAGAGAAGGGGTATGACTGAGACACTCTGCATTGCAAAGCCAAGATAAAGGAACTCTGGCAGGCACGCCAGAAGGTGAAGGAGGCAAACAGCTGGTTTGGTGCTGCACCCACAACATGCCATTTTTATAATACCACCCTGGGTGGGACTCCCATGTCCACAGCCAAGGACCCTGTGGATACTTCCCATAGCACAGAGTCAGCAGAAACAGGACTTACCCTGGAAGCAGAAGTTCTTGATGAAGAGATGGCAGTGGACTAGGCGGAGGGCTCACTGCAGGGTCACAGAGTGTGGAAGGCAGCCAGGAACAGTTCTGACATCCGGAGGTTCATGTTGACTCTCAGCAACTGGAAGTGGAACATGAAGCAAGGGAAGAGATGCAGGAAAAGTTGCTCTATTGCAGTGTGGTGTGTGGGGAGGGAATGCGGGGTGGTAAGTTGCTCTGTTGCAGCTGAGGGGGGAGGCAATGGCAGCTGGGAGGGGGCAACGGTGCTGCTAGAACCCAGGTCACACATATTTGGGCTGCATAAGAGCAGGGCACCCTCTGTTTGCCTCCAGAATCAGAGCTCTGGCTTGCCTGTTAAACGTCAGCAGGACTATATCAGCAGAGTAATGGCAGCCTGTGGACAAGTGTAGGATTTGTGGAAGAAAACATTGTCCTCACTCTGAGTTTGTAAGCAACAAGTAGCCAGAGGCAGTTTTATTACGAGCTGCAGCAAGGGAAAAACTGGTTCGGTCAGATCTTTGAATACAAGCAATTATGAAGCAGTTTATATACTGTCTATTAGATATAATAACAATAACAATTAGTCTCCTTCCCATTACAAACACCAATGGCTAACAGTTATTTAGTTCCACCCAGATGCTCCTTATCTCAAGGTCCCTGCCAGAGTCAGCATTCTGTCCTTATCTCCCTATGGAGGTGAGAGGCAAAGGCAGCTTCTAATTACAGATCTCGCGTTGTCAGGCCACAGACTTAGCCTGACTCTTGCTCTCTTGTTAACAAGACCAAGATGGCTGCACACAAATTCCCTTATTCCCTTTTCCTGCCTCCACAGATTATTACAAATTGTTTTCATGTACACCTGCTGCACGAGTGTGGACCGTACTTTCTTGGGGCCCCATGACCAATTCTCCTTTCCACTGATCCCACCTTTGAAATTCAACATGATCAGAGTGTCTGGAGAGATCTGTGTTTGCTTCTAGGGTAACAAGAAAAGTGGCCTGTTTCATTCAGAGATGTGCATGTTAGTGAAATGTTTCAACCTTTATAGGAACAGAACAGCCACTCTATTGTTAATGGTTACCTTTCAAGACCAGATCTTGATTAGGTTTTGTCAACTGAGGAAAAAAACCTCAGAGGACCAGAAAGGACCTAGTGAAAGATAGTTTGCAACATTCAATGTTCCAAACTGAGAAAAGGGAGGAAAGGTGGGCCAGGGAAATGAAAGCTAGAAAAGAAGCCACTGAGTGCATGCTAAAGCTCATGGAAGACCAAACTGAGATGTTGAAGTGTTCCAATCAAGATGCAAAGCTAACAGAAGCAAAGGCCTCCCTGACAATACAAGCACAATTCTTTTCCCAGCAACCCCCTTTCTATGCCCACATAC